TTTTTTTTTTTTTTTTTTTTTTTTTTTTTTTGTTGTTTTTTTTTTTTTTTTTTTTGTTTTTTTTTTTTTTTAGTTTTTTTTTTTGTTTGTTTTTTTTTTTTTTTTTTTTTTTTTTTTTTTTTTTTTTTTTTTTTTTTTTTTTTTTTTTCTTTTTTTTCTCTTTTTTTTTTTTTTTTTTTTTTTTTTTTTTTTTTTTTTTTTTTTTTTTTTTTTTTTTTTTTTTTTTTTTTTTTTTTTCTCTTTTTTATTCTTCTTTTTTTTTTTTTTTTTTCTTCAAAAAGAAATTTAAATATAAATCCGATATGAATTCTTAAAATCACGTAATTTCTTAAAACTATCAAAATCTTCGAGATCTTAGTTCCGAAAAATGAATACCGATTCGAATTAAGAAAGATAATCATATAATAATTTTTCACCAAGAAATATAGAGAAAAGATAGACGAATCGATCTATTAACCCATTCGAATTCTCTATATTTATTTCGATTATATATATATATATATGAATATATTACCGATAATATAATATAAGAATTCTATATTTCCGGAATCGTATGAAATATAAAATATCCCGAGTCCTTTATACCATCGCATTTTGTAGAGTAAAAGGAGAAGGGTTCCTTTTATCGATATCTTTCTCTCCCAACAAATTATTAACCAGAAATAAAAGAACGAGCTGTAGCATCTATGGTAAAGATTGGCCTTCAGCATACCCATGCGTGCATGCGAGGCCGACGTTGGTTTTTGCTAAGGCTGCATTTGGCTGAATTGGTGTGGTGAAACAAATAAGACAGATTGACAATATCTCGTCATGTCATCGCGAAATCAACGTCTCGGGCCAGCTGCAAGAGGCTCGTGAGAAAGTGCTCTCGAAGGTTACATCGGGCCATGATGGTCTCCCGACAGCTCTTAGCTGCAAGCCATTGGCATCTCACAGTTTTGGCCTCGGACTGTACCTATGATAGCTCTTGGTGAAAAGTGTTGATACAAGACCTCTGATTTTCATGAGGCCTTCGGTTTGGAGCTCGTCGGCTCCTCTCCACACGACTACCGACCCTGCAAAGTTTGCAACATGGGTCTTAGATCCTGAGTGGAGTGACGAGGCGTGTTTGCAGGGTCTAAGTCGTGTCGCTGAACATTTGCTCAAACACTGCTCAAATGCTAAGTGAGGTGTGGAAAAATGGAAACAAGTGAGCCGAGCTAGGGTCGCAAGAGTGGCTCTTTCCAAGGCGAAGGCTCACACCTCACAGTGGTATTCGTCGCCATCTGAGGGTGATGACCCTTCCCGGCATAGAGCTCACCAAGGATCTTCCAGCGCATGGACACCTACAAGTCTCGGCTACTGCATGAAGGGAGCTTCGGCAACAGGGGGGGGGAATAAAGACCACACTCCTCAACTCGAAGCACGCCGCACCTCAACAGCCGTACAGATCTCGAGGCTGCGATTGTACAGTGTATGGGGCTTAGGAGTCCCCGTCGGAAGCTCAAGCATCCCCCAGGCCCAACCCAACCGGCAAAAGTCCTGAAGTGACGGGGGAGGAGGTGGAGGGAGCGTGCCTCGCCAACCTTCTGGAGCCTGCAGACAATGACAAGGCTCCCAGATGCTTGGAACCTACTTCTGAGTTAGCATCTTCAAGCTTCCTCCAGCTTCTTGCACCGGACAGCAGTCTAGCGAAGGATAGAAGATGATAGCGTATAGCAGTCCAGGGGCCTACATGAGACTTTCATGCGTGACCGACTTTACTCCGTGGCCTCTGGACTCTAAACTGCCGTCTGTGTCAGCCTTCGCCCACTCCCGAGTGGCCAGATACAGGCCAGATACAAAGACCCAGGAAGCCCACAGCCAGACTGAAACCAGCTGACCTGCTTGCCATTCGAAGGGGGCTGTGCATCGTCCCGGCCTATGTGTATGATACATGTGTCTGACAACTAACTTTTTGAAAAGATGGAATCAGACTATGAGTTACAAGCCAAAGGCAGCTGCTCTCTTGCCTGAAACCACAGCATAGACAGCACAGATGTTCGTTAAGGAGGCGGGTGTAGCTGTAAAGCTCTTGCGGCTCCTGCCGCTCCAGTTCGTGACTTTACCACTTGATGCAGCCTGAAATCCCTCACTTCAAAGCACGATCGTCATGATGCTGGCCTTGAACTGGTGGGGCTTCTCCATGAAGCGTAAGAGGGCCTCGCTCGGCCCATCCTCCAGGCGACGCTGTGGCTAGACTGCGAGGCGTCGACGCGACCCACGACCCGAAAGATACCGGTGGACCCTTGTTTTGAGCCCACCTTTCCGGGCATCATTTTGAAGTTACCTTGTGGGCTCAGGCCTCAGCAGTTGGGGCTTTAGGGGGACTTCAAACGTTTCGTGGTGAAATGCACTGAACCTCCCAGGCGTCCTTGTCACGGAGCATGGTGTGCGTCTTCATCAACAGGTTTCTCGCAACCTGCCACTCGCCTTGAGCATAGTTCTGGTACCTGGGTCGGACCAAGATGGGTTTGTTTCGATCAGGTCGGCAGCTACATCTCACTCCGGGATCGGTCCCTGATGAACAGCCGTTCCGAGGGCACCCCATGTTGAACTTCTGCAGGAACGGATCCGTGTAGGGAGTTCGCATTTCCTGGAAATGAGGGTCCTGCACCAGCGCCCACACAAACTGCAACGACAAGCATCGCATTGCCCTGACTCGCATGTGTAGGAACAGGACTGCAGGAGGAGCAAAGTGTCTGCTTCGCTCATCTGGCACGCTGGAAACATCAGCCCTGCTCCGAGGAGCATCTTACACACCAATTTCTGCGACATCAGCGACATCAATGGCGATGCGGCTCCTTCTTCAAGATATGCGCCTGCCGTCATCGTCATGCAAGCCCGGTGAGCCAGAGAACCCAATGTCGTTTAATCAAGGAATCTGTCGGAACTCAAACCGTGCTTTTCTTGTATGCTTTACGATGTAGCTCTTGATTGACGGCTATTGTGCTTGCTGGGGGGCCTGCATTCGACTCGACAAGCAAGGCACAGTGGCAAACAGCGCTGCCTTGGAGAACTCGTCAGCCCAGAGATGGTTCTTCCGCATCTGGGACACACAAGAGAGGCAGCAACGGCCACACAGCTGCTTCTCTGAGTACTGCTATAGAAGATGAAACAACACGAAAATGAATGCCAGTATCAGTATCACAATTAGTAGCAGCAGTAATGGCAGTAGCAGCAGCAGCAGCAGTAGTAGCAGCAGCAGTAGTAGCAGCAGCAGGAGTAGCAGCAGCAGCGGCAGCCCAGCAGATGCCCACCGTCATGCATCACCGTCCTCTCTTCGGGTAGCTGAGTGGGGGTAGGAATAACGACGTTCTTGCCGACCTTAACCATGCCACCAAGCCCTAAAACCCAGAGCTTAAGTATGCTGCAGCAAGACTAGCGCAAACGCTGCAAGTACTAGTAAGTACCATCGTTTTGGGCATGACGCCATATTAGTGGACGTTACACCCTTCTCCCGCCCGACGCACAGAAAACAAGAGAGGAAAAACTGATGATGTAGAAAAATATAAAGGAAACACAGGACCCAAATAAATGAAGAACGAAAGAGAGACATAAAGAAATGACAATATGGAGACACACGGTGCAGAACGAAATACTGAAAGAAAAAACAAATTACATATACAAAACAAGCAGATCGACAGAACCAAAAATGGCTCGATTCAGGAAAAATGCGAAAACAACAGACACATGCGAAGTTGAAGAAGGCAGCATACAAAAAAAAAAAAAAACACTATACGTACCAAGCAGAGCCGTTGCGTTTAGAGCATTTTGCCGTTATCTTCAACATGCACCAGAATCAGCACAAGACCCCCAAACACCCAAGCACCCTGAGACCGTGAGACCGAGCGCCGAAACCATGTGTGCTTCACTCACGAAAACTTCAAATAAAACAAGAGAGGCTAGAGGAGCTGTCCTGTCTTCGAACAACTACGATGCGATGCCCACCCCCTCCCCTCTGGGGTGTACAATTTGGACTTTTGTGTTCTTGGATACTCCCTGCAACTCAATTTAGGGGGGTTGTGTGGAGCTTGGCGGTCAGGGATGCCACAAGCGGGCGCCGCAGCTCGCTACACTCTCAAGATGCGTGCTTTAAGAAAACTAAACCCTAAAACCTCTACAAGTAATGAGGAAACGATACCCTAAACCCTAAAAGCCTTGAATTCCACAGATCACAGCATGACTGTGGACCCGCAGGGCCTCCATGGCGTGCCTCGACCTCAGGTAAGCATGCTCTCCGGCTTCGAGGCATCAGGGGCTATACTCAAGATTCTACGGCTTAGGGCGCTGAGGCTTCAAGGTATCGGGTTTCAGGTTTTCGCGTTTCAGGTTCTGGGGTGTGCGTTGCATTGTTCAATGGGCTTCGATTTTTGAGCTGGCAGAGTCAGTTTCGGTATAAGATCAGGGAGAAACCTCAAAGATTGCAGTAGGGACGACGCATGGTGTAACGCATATTGTCTCACCTGCAGTGCCAAAGATACACAACAAATCAAACACGGACCTATCACAAAAGGTTCAAACAGGCTACTTCCGTGAGCCTTCGGCACCATCCTAAAACAGCAGAAACCCTCCAAACCTCTAACTCTAAGCCAGGGACCCCTGAACCCTGGAACACACGGTAGGGTCCAGGCTTGAAGCGATAGCGCGAGTTCCATGTGATCGGCAACTCCGGCCGGTCCTCCACCTGTTCACCGGCAGATGCTCTGCAAACATGCGCTACAACTTCCCCCATCACGGCGGTTCGGCATCTGTGTGCGCACCTGGGTAGTTTGTCGATTAATCATACATATCCTAACAAAGTGAAAGCTCGGTCGGAGTTGGCTGTTTTGCTGCGTCTGTGTCAGCGCATCACGGATGCCGGAACGGCCGAAATCGAAGCAAATCGGGCTGGGAAGAACAACTCTTGCACAATGCCATGCCGTCCAATAAGTTGACAACAATCCAGACAACCTTCCCGAATAGCGCTCAGTCAAGACCCGTAGGCGGGACTTTGCACGTCTAACCATGCTGCGCTACAACCGAGCTTTGATGGCTTTCAATTTCAAGGGCTGGTGGATTGCACACAAGGCAGGGGAACCTGGAAAGCCAACGCTGACAGGGTCAGCAATCGAAGGTATTCATGCTGTGACAAGCCGCAAACGACACACAGCTCAAGCTTTCACGAACCTTGCTGCCGAGTACTTAGACTGCTAGCAGTGCAAAGTTTCTCCAACTTAGCCGTGCGCCGAGACTATGTTACCCGTTGGTCTCCTGTCATACCCCATTTCGATGTCTCGCATTGTCATGTCCTGTTGTGAGAACAGTGTTATGCATCTCTGTCCCGTACTGGGTACTGTATCATGCTGTGCCCGAATTCGTCTATCCGCCCGTGGTAAAACGACGGGCAGTGTAATGCCGGCCAACATGTCCCTGAATCTGTGTGTGCATGTGTGCGCAGCTGGCCATCGATCTAACGATCTACCTAGCTATACACCGTGTGAAGAAAAACAGAAGCCGACGATGTATGCACATACCTGCATACCTGTTTGCTGTGCTGGACTCTGCTGGTCGGACGATTCGCTTTGAGACACGGGCCTGAAGTCGTTTGAAGTCCAAGTCCAGGCAGTACAGCTCCAAAGGCACCAGCGAGCCTTTGATTGTGACCTTCATGGCAGTATACTCCGTGCCGATCCAACCCTTGTGCAACTATGTGCTTCACATACGCCGACTTTTCAGCGGCCGATAGACTCCTCCGGATAGTACCCAGCCTTATCGATCAAGCGCATCTTGCTGGACATCTCCTTCGTGCAGCACTGGGCTACCTGAGAGGCGCAGAGGAAACATCGGAGAGCACAAAGCTCCACATCTTCCTGTGCAAGCTGGTGTAAGCTCCCGGCTGTTTGGGAGATCAATATCCTGACGCCATATTTCCTGCGGCGGGGTCTTGGCATGGAGCCCAGGGGCTCAGCCCACCTCAAAGCCTGGTAGCTACCTGGTGAACAAAGAACCATGGTGAGAAGCAGCCATGCAGGAGCCTGGTCGCATGCTCGATGCTATTGGCAATGCTGACCTTCGAAGCAAAACAGGCTCTCAACTTCGTTTTATGGGCTCTGCCAGGCAGAGTAAGATCGCAGCATTCGGCGAGATATAGGAAGCATCAATCTTGAAGTCGCTGCCCACAGCGCCCTGGAGGCATGCTCATACGAAGAGTCAATAGGCGGGAACCCCTTGGTTCATGGTTGCACATCCCAACAGGGACTTCTAGGCCTTGTTCCCCAAACAAGCTGTATTCTGGATTTAAGCCCGGCAGGCCTCGATAGCCCAGCCTCGATGCAGGCCGAAGCTAAGATCGACCCTGCCTGGTTGCAGTCGTGTAAAGTTGAGTCCAGCTTCTTGCGCGGGGATGGGGGGGATTCCCGGGTTTGTGTGTAAACATTCAGCACTGCTGAGCCTGTGTGTGATACGACAAGGGTTGACGATCGGAAACATCGGGCACTATCTGGCACTGCTGCACTAGCTCAGCAAGTGGATGATCGATTCTGCATGCAGGGTTCTGTGTAGCAGCAACGACCTCAAATGCAGCCTGTGCCGACGACCAGTGACAGAAAGGCATGCTTCGAACTCGCACCGAAAACGAGCCCGCAAGCTGGCAGGCGCACACTGATCCCTGAGCCGCTGCTGAAGCCCTGGATGTTGTCGGTACGACGCGAGGACTGGCGACCTGTTGCAGTCAAAAGGCATCTCAGGCACGGTCAATGTTGAGGATCTTGCAGGTTGTCGAGAAATGGGGTGCATGCTCCCACAGAAAGCTGATGTGCGAGCGGATTTCGCGTACTATGGTGCAACGGAACGAGCTAGTCCGGAGGAGAGGTCAGCGGCCCTGTTAAAAGTTGGTCGTGCAGTGAAAGGCTTTGCTCGGCTTGCCCCTCATGTCAGGAACACATAGAAACACGAGCTCAGTGCAGCAGCACCGCATGTGCTCGACATTACTCCACGAGGATCTTGAGGTCGTGCTTCACACGGCCATGCAGCTACATTCAAACACAGCCCCGCCAAGCCCCGCAGAAGACGCCTGTGGATAGCTCCAACCACCAGTGTAAACGCCAGAACTGACAGGTCAGCCATTTTGCGTTCCTGCGCATGCGCATGCAGCTGACACAGGACGCCCTTGCAAGCCCAGCTATGGTCGCTCCAAAAGCACCGCGCAAAGAGATGTGCATCTACAGCTGATAGGATTGAGCTAGTTTTTGACCTGATGCTCGGCAGGAGCTTTTTCGACCGCGACCGCATCAGGTCGCGGGGTCCGTTAGCAGGTGCCAGTGGAACGTCATCGGGCAACCCAGAGACCTGCCAGAGAAGTCATCTTCTGAGACGGGCACGGTTGGTTCTTGTTCCTGTTCCCTGTTCCTACTTCCCAGCTTTCGACCAAAGCAGCCCCGAGCCCGATGCAATTCATGCCTCAAGTTTGCCCGGAAGCGAAGCGAATCACGTCCATCTGTTGGGACTGCCGACTCAGCTGGCGGGCTGATCCACGCCAGGGCCTGACAATCAGAGATTGATCAGCGGGGCTTGTGTCACATCTGAGTCTTACAGCACACACCAGAATACGGATCGTTTCAAGAGTTTCTACCGTCATCACATTCTCACAAGGCCTGTAGCTACATGGCCCACAAACACTTCCCAGCTGCTGTTGCTTGAGGATGCACAACTGCTTTAGGCACCAGGCTGCAAGTCAAGCAATCCTTCTGCGAGCTCCTCCATTGCAATAGCCGCAGGCTCCAACCTTGGAAGGGGCTTTGCATGCATCAAGCATGATATCGAGCAAACAGACAGTGCCATCTAGTCATACTCCTGCATCTTCTTGTGGTCGATGGCAGCCGTCACGTCACCCGTGCCGAGATCCAGGCTTCTCGTCGCAAGTGTACTCCTGAACTTCTAAATGTGTGTACGCGTGTGTGTACGCAGATATGTGTATATAGATATAGATACAGATATAGATACAGCTAAATATTGCACTATGGTGGGAGCATGAGCACTCCAGAGACTCAATGAAACAGAATCCACGGAGCAACGGAGAAGTTGCGATTGACGAAGGTGACGTTGTCGTATGATTTCGCCATTTCATCAGCTACTAGCAGTAGTAGTAGTAGTAGTAGTAGTAGTAGTAGTAGTAGTAGTAGTAGTAGTACTAGGAGGAGGAGGAGGAGGAGGAGGAGTAGTAGTAAGAGTAGGAGTAGGAGTAGGAGTAGGAGTAGGAGTAGTAGTAGTAGTAGTAGTAGTAGTAGTAGTAGTAGTAGTAGGAGTAGGAGTAGGAGTAGGAGTAGTGGTAGTAGTAGTTGTTGTTGTTATAACAGTAGCAATAGGAGGACGAAGTAGTAGTAGCAGTAGTAGTAGTAGTAGCAGCACCATCGGCAGTAGTAGTAGTAGTAGTAGTAGTAGTAGTAGCAGTAGTAGTAGTAGTAGTAGTAGTAGTAGTAGTGGTAGTGGTAGTAGTAGTAGTAGTAGTAGTAGTAGTAGTAGCAGCAGTAGTAGTAGTGTAGTAGTAGTAGTAGTAGTAGTAGTAGCAGGAGGAGTAGTAGTAGCAGGAGGAGTAGTAGTAGTAGTAGTAGTAGTAGTAGTAGTAGTAGTAGTGGTAGTGGTAGTGGTAGTGGTAGTGGTAGTGGTAGTCGTAGTGGTAGTGGTGGTGGTGGTGGTGGTGGTGGGAGACGTAGGAGTAGCAGCAGAGTAGCAGTAGCAGCGGCGGCAGCAGCAGTAGCAGTAGCAGCAGTAGCTGCGTCAATTAAGGATGAAATTTCAACACAGTCCCGAACCCAAGATCCATTGTTTCGAGCCGGAGAGGAATCTGGTGGCTGTGCGATTTCAGTGTCCAGAGGATTGGGTACATATGCGGCAAGCCCGACCGTGCCTCCGGGTGCATAAACAGAAGCCCAAACACCGGCTTGCGAAGACAGTGGTAACACGGACGTTTAACCTAGTGCGTGTGTGTTTGTGTGTGTGTGTTGTGTACATATGTATATATGTACATATATATATATATGTGTGTGTGTGTGTGCATGTATATTTATAGTGCGACAGAGAAAGCGAGAGAGAGAGAGAGAGACTGGATGAACGGATGCAGGCATGCATGCATGCACTCATTCGCGCAGTCACTCAGTCACTCAATCACTCGTTCTCTTGAGCGAGCTCCTCTTTCTCGGAAATCCACTGGCAGGCGCGGCCCGCACCACAGGAACAAAAGTCCTGCTAGGCAATCGTGCATCGGAGGAGATTTAGCCAGCTGCAATACTGTATTACTTGTTGCCAACTTGTTTGCATGTTCGTTGGGCAAGGCATTGCAGAGACCCCACCTGATGGGCGTAGGGGAGGAAGGCCGTGCGAACGTCCTCCCCAAAGCAGACAAAGCTTTTGAGAACGGTGCTCGATCGGCAAGAACGAACTATGAAAGCCAGTCCTTATCCTCCAGGAGCAGCGTTACGGCGAAGGTTCGGACCTTGCATTCACTGACCGCTGAAAGCTGCATGTAATTCCACATCCCGAGGGACAGTACTTGCCAAACTCATGAATCTTGATCCCTTCTCCGTCCGCGTTGCCCTAAGTGGCCAGGCTGTTGGGAAACCCCAGACAATCCCTGCTGGGCCCAGCAACCGGGTTGTTGCCCCAGCGGTGGATCCAAAAGCCACCTCTCCCAGGGACAGCAAGGAGCAAGGGAGCCGCACGGCGTCCCCCACGGAAACCGATTGAGCCGGCCTACAGAGTCCATGTACCGGAAGAAGTCCTTCAAGGATGTCAAAAAGATCCACAATGCACCATCGATGGGACTCAAATGGATCATACTATTCAGAATCAGAAACGTAGACAACAACAGTGATCAAGAATTCACAGAAAGCTTTCCGCGAGGAGCCTGGTACACTGGCCCACGGAACCAGTCCAACCGAAGGATCTCGATATCCAGCATCAGGCACTGCCTCGGTTGTCCGGCGTTCTCAGCCCGACGCGAAGAGGGAGATATTCCCTTTGATGCATACGTACTGAGAAGAGCTGCTGGTACCATTTGTAGTTCTTCTCGATCAGAGCCGCGAGCATCCTGCTCGGAAGGACGGACTGATTCGGACGGAGCCTACGCCTACGCCAATAAGGCAAGACAGGTCCTCGTGCGGCGAGGATCCAGTTTCTGGAGTCTGCAGTAGAGCAGGAAGTAGTGCATAAAGTTCACCACCACCTTCAAGTGCCACTCTCTGGCAACATTGCCATTAGGACTCACAAGCTGAGCACTCTGCACTGGCAGACTCCCTGCCCAAGTGGGGGAACATTGCCGTCAAGCCTCGGAAAAGAGAATGCACAAGTAAGTCCTCTTCTAGACCGACCAATCCCCGCGCAGGCAAATCCGGAAAACGAAGCCGCAGGCTGCTTGCCCTGAGTTCCCAGCCCTGCGCCTGCAGCACTTCAAAGGGATCCACGCCTCGTCTTCTGGATTCAGAGACCCTCTTGCAATCGATATCGTGCCGGCGCGTTGCAGGAGATTCTTGTCGTACCAAGGCTTGACTTACTAAAACCCCTTGCGAGGTCGCCCTCCCCCTATCGATCCCTGCACAGCTCAGTAAGCTAAGGACCCAAAGGGCCCGGAAAGTAGGAGTCCGTGTCCAAGGTCATGGCATAATCGAAGCCTTGCAGTGCGGGGCTTCCGGCTCCAAGCACGGGTTTATAGACAGACAGACGTTTCTGCGTAGTTGAGCCTGTAGAATGATTCATACATATGACTGTGTTTATAATGTGCAGACCTCGTGAGGTGCTGACCATCACCGAGATTGAGATGTTCACTTACTTTTACAGTTGAAGATGATGCCGATAAGACTTGTGACGGAGATAAGAAGCATGTTCCCAAAAATATGATGATACTCATCCCACTGCTATTTCCCATACTAGTACAAGCTCCAATACCGCCAATACCTGCGCTGGTACGACTACCAATACTGGTCCTAGTACTTCGCACATTGCCAGAAAGTATACATAACGGCAGTAGCGATGACACTCATCAAAAAAATGAAAGTTGTTATAAACATGTTAACATGATCAGATTCTGGAAGAGACGCTGTTTACAATGCCGGGCGAAGCGCACACTTGCCGACAACTAGCAGTATGATGCAAGAGCCTGCAAGTGCTGGCTCCAGAAAGACAGGGCCAGACCGCCACCGCCTGGGCCGGGAGATGAAATCAACGCAAGCGTTTCTGTTTAAGTGTCGGGGCAAAGTCGGGATGCATCTGGAGCAGAAACACCTTCGCATTGGCCATTTGGCTTGGGTATTGTCGGGCCTGCATCCCGACCCATGGAGTTTGCTGCTGGTGCTTCATGAGCCTTCGGAACTTCACATGGCTGCGAGTCCTTGGTATATCCGGCAAAGCACCCTGACTATCCGGAAGCGAGAAACCTCACTTAGCCGCCCGCGTCATTGCTCGGTAGCCGACAGCAAACTCCGAAGCACGCTGCCGCGACACCTTTGGCTGGGTTTTATTCCCACGATGGTCGGTGCTCCTTTGAAGCCACGAACAAGCCATACCATTTCATGCAATGCCTACTCAGTTTGAGTCAGGAGTTCCATGCAGTGTTTCGTAAATGTCTGGCCTCCTGTTTGGGCTAGGCCTATTTTGGCAGTCATGCCGGAACTCAAGCTCAGCTGCATCGCCTGAGGTGAATTGCGGCTCTTTCCCCGTCTGGAAACAACGTCAGGCATGACGCGGGTGGACATTATCATGCCTGAAACCTAGAGCCGCACTGTGGAACATGCCCATCCAAATAGAGAGGCCTATCATGTCTGCAACTCTCCGAGTGATGATCACGAGCACGGCAATACTAATGATGATGATGACGACGATGAAAATGTGCGAATGGTAAGGACGGCGACAGTGATGACGACGACGTCGACGGTGATGACTATGGTCATGGACCCGCGCGGACGTGACACGGCCCTTGGGCCGTGGCGTGCAGAGAGAGAGAGAGAGAGAGATGCTGCTGGTGATGGTGATGATGATGGCTGCTGCTTACGGTGGTGATGACGGTGAAAATCACCATCTTCTTCTTCATCACCAGCATCATCATCAACATCAGCATTGTGTCCATATTTATCCGTTTTGGTTCCATGCCTAAGCCAGGAGTTTTCATGTATATATTATGCTTCCCAGTACCTGGGCTGAGAAACTCAAAGCCAGGTTGCAGGCCTCCGCCCATTCCGGAGGGACCTCCTTGAAGCCTTGGCGGAAGCTGTCGCATCCAGCTTTAGCAAAGAGACGAAGCCCTAATCTTGAATACCCTAAACCCTAAATCCTATACCCCATTCAAGATCCCAAACCCTACACACCAGAGCACTGAAGAGCAGCTGCGTCAGGTTGCCTGGAAGCAGTCGAAACCGAAGAGTGGCAGACAAAAGACAGGAGTTTCTTCGATTCGACTCACGGGTTCTTTTTTCCGCGTCTCGTCCGTCCTACCATTCGGAGTACGAAACCCTAAACCCAAAACTCCAAACCCTAAACAATAAATTCAGAAACCCGAAACTTCGAGGTCTTGGAACCCGGCGTGGCACCAGAGCGAGCCAGACCCGGTTCTCAGACGCGGCGATGATGCGCTCCCGACCCTGATGCGCAGGGTTGTTCCTGTTGTCAGGGTTTGGGAAGCGTCTCACAGGGTACTTTTATACTGGTGATTTAAAAGTCGTGTTTCGGATGGTACTGAGGCTTTCCGAGAATGTTGCTCGGATGCTGTAGAGCCTGCTAGGCGTTGCAGAACTCCACTTAAATCCGAGCTTGTGCTGGACACGGGTCCTTCCTTCGGAGTAGACTTCAAGGGCAAAAGCGGCTCTGGCTGCTGCAACTCGCACAGCGAACCGCACAAACGCCCGATTGAGTTATCAAGAACTACCACACGGGAACTGTTCCTTTCACATCGCCAGACGATGAGGTGCGATGCCCAGCTCAAAACGTGAGACTACCTGCACGCTTCAGCACTATTTCCGGACCAACCTAAGCAGGAAACGATGAAAAATGGGAACCACCCAAGATCACCACTTTTCACTGCAACGGCCATCAACACTGCTCATATTGGCCATCATCATCTTCAGGGTAACCCTCCATCTCAACCGCAAACCTCTCTTCCGGCTCCTCCCCTCTTAGCATCTCCGCCTTCGCATCATCTGTCAACCTCATCACCGTCATCGATGTGATCATTCCAATCGCTGATGACTCGCTCAGTACGGGAGCAGTCAGGGGTGCAAAACGGGACCTGCGGACGTGAGAACAACGACCGTAATGACGATAATCATGGCGATGATGGTGATGATGGTGGCGACGATAGTGATGGTGACCATGGTGCTGATGGTGGTGATGGTAGTGGGGGGGGGTGATTCTGGTGATGGAGTGATGCTGCTCATGCTAGAGATGCTGGTGGGTAGTGACAGCGATGGCGATGGCGATGCAGATGGTGATGACAGCAGCGACCGACTCGCCGACGCCGATGATGACGGTGGTAATGGTAATGATGACGATGATGATGATGATGATGACGATGAGAATGCTGATGCTGATGCTGATGCTAATGATGATGTTGATGATGGTTGCTACTAATGGTGACGGTGATGATGATGATGATGATGATGGTGAAAATGCGGATGCTGATGATGATGGTGATGGAGATGTTGATGACGATGGTGACGACGATGAGGATGACGACGATGACAACGAAAATTGTCCTGATGATGATGATGATGGTGATGACAATGATGATGATGATGATGACGAGGATTAGGATGAGGAGGAGGAGGAGAGGCAGAGGATGGTGAAGATAGTGATTCCGAAACGAACAATAACGTCACGAACACGACGACGATGACGACAGCAATGCAAGTAACTTACATGATAGGTGTTAATCACAGGTGGCTTCCCTGCCTTCTTGCTCAGTCCCTCATGGAAGATCACTACTGGGTAGTCGTACCCTGGCGCCGAGCACGAGCATTGTTCAGAACAAGTCTTAGGAGGCTAGCTTCACAGTTGTCCGCCTTGTTGTTCTTAAGTCTTACTCTCAGTGCTGTTGCTGTCTTAACGGGTAATGTCCTCGTCCTCCTACTTGCATGACTACCCCTACTACTCCTACAACCCCTCGAACTCCTACTCCTACTCAATCCCACTCGTGTCTCCTGTTACTCTCCCTACTACGACTGCTAACCATCACAACCACCACCACCACCACCACCACCACCACCACCACCACCACCACCACCACCACCTCTACTACTGCTACTACGACGACGACTACAGTCACGGCTCGCTGCGACAATGACTGCTACTGCGACTGCGACTTCGGCGGCGACTACGGCGACTACGACTGCGACTACTACTTCGACTACTGACTACCCCTGCTGGCTGCTGCTGCCACGACTGCTACGATCACTACGGCTCTCAGCTTCTACTTCGACTACGGCCACTGGTGCAGCTGCCGCTGCTGCGGCTGCTGCTGCTGCTGCAGCTACTACTAATACCACCACTGCTACGACGACGACTACGCTGCCACACGACGATGGCAATTACGCGCACGAATACGCATCAATGATAATCGCTGAAGGCCTTGTTAGTTGACAGTCTTACAAGCATTATCGATGGCATTGCTCTTAGTTTGCGAGTATCGTGGTGGCAGCGATGCGATTGCAGCATCATGGATGGCGTCAGGACCCAGAGCGAGATCCAGTTGGGAGTGAATGAAGGCTGGGCAAATGCTCCGTGTCAGGGCACCCGTCCCCGTACAGTACTGTGGGAACACCGAAACAAGCTCAAGCTCGATCTATGTGCGTTGGCATATGATAGCCTGCTCAAGTCTCACCTTTCGAACTCGGAGAGTCGGGCCTTTGTTGTAGTGGATCCACAAGCTTGTGAGGGAACGCTCCAGGTCTTGCAGGTCGCGCTCCTGGGCTAGAGCCAGGACAGTCCGCACAGCTCGCCGAAGGGCCCCGTTTCGACTTTTGCACTTGCAGAAACACCAACACATCTTGCTTCATGCACATCTGAGCGCAGATCTGTCTCCGCAGTGATGTAGTGGATCACGGCCCGAAGCTTCTGCTGGACACGAGGGGGGTCCTCCGCCAAAGCTCAAAGCTCTATGTTGCCAGTTTGGAATGGGCCACAAGCCGCCTCCAGTTCGCAGAGTGGTCCGCGGAAGGGTGGCAAACACCTGCATCTGCCGAGGACTTCAGCGTCAAACGGAGCTGGCATAGCTTGCACGACAAGTTTTGCGCATGAGACTCTGCATCCCACTTTCAAAATGCTTGCACTTCCCAGAGCCAAGACTGAGGAGAAACAGAGACCAGCACTGGCCAGGCTAAGCACTGGGCTCACACAGCCCTTCTCCGCAGTGGCCTCGTTGGAGATTTCCATTGCTCTTCGCACCTTCAGGCTTTTCGGCGCCGAGGGCCCCTACATCTGTCAGGCTGTTGCGGAGGAAGAAATCGTGCTCCGTAGGGTTCCCGTCCCAGCTCTGTCTTCGAAAGCCTCTCTCCAGGAGATAGCGCAAGGCTGGAGTCTCCGTCATCACCTGGCATCCCGAGGCTCCAAGACCAAGGCAGGGTGTGAGAGATTCTCAACAGGTCTCTGAAATCCGGAAATTCGGAGCCCTCAAGTCTGAACTGAACCCCACAGCACGAAACTCGAAAACTGAGCTTCATGAAGCCCTGACAGAAAACTTGTCAGAACACCGAGGCGGCATAGCGGCCTCCAGAGGGGAAGAAGGCGCAGCAATCTTGTCCCACTGTCAACGGCTACATCTGACATCACGTAGGAATTTAAGGTTTGAGTGTTCAGGTTGTTTTTGATGGGACAAGCACGACCATGACTCGCTTATTGATTCTTGCATGTGCTGACTGCCTTGCATCAGGCAGCCGTCTGCGATGACCGATCGCTCTAGGATCAAGCCACTTGAGGTCTACATTGGGACTGGCTGTCTGAGCCCCTATGAATACAAATACATGTGTGTGTATATATATATAGGGCCCGAGTCGCCAGTAGCCAGGAATCTCGAGGCCCCAGTGCCCAAATGCCATGGCCCAGATGGGAAGTGCGGGCACGCCATGACAACAAGAAGTTCCACAAGAGCGATGAGTTCAGCCAGGACCTCCTAGAAGAGACGGTCCAGTTCTTTGCCTTGATCCTCAAGAACTTCTTCGACAGCTCGAAAGATTACTACAAGAAGGATGCCGACCAGAGGAATCTCGACTACGACGTACTGAACAAGGCGGCTGTGGTGTCTTACGACGTCGGCCTTATCATGAAGCGACGCGGGCTGGTGATTGACCGCGATACTGACAGCAGTCGGATGTCCACAAGGGCCGCGGACACAATCAAGAGAGCTTGCAACGGGGGGTCGAGGACAATACCCCGGACGCCGTCGCGAAACACCTCGAGGCTGAGCCCAACGAGTCCCAGAACTTCGCCGCAGGAGCTCGTGAAGACAGCGACCGAGGTCAACAAGTGCCGAGGCAGTAGAACACCCCAGTGCCATCTTTGGGCAGGAAGATGCCGGCCGACTTGGCGAAGACCGACGCTGAGTTTCCACGCTGCCGGTGCCACAGAGAAGCTCTACACTCTACACGTCCGAGGCCATCGACTCCTTCGACAACAAGTGCTTCCTTTGTGTCTACGAGACAGTGAAGGTGGCCGACAAAGCCCCCGCCGAGCGGAACAAAGAGCAATTACTCGTGGGAATACTGCTGAGCTGATTGTCCCCTGAGTACTTGTTCTGCTGCGGCACTGTAAGCTGTGATACGTGAAGCACTGTAGAACTGAAGTTGCTGCAGTGCGTTTTTGATTTGTCCAGGCAAGAGACGGTTTTTGCCTTCGGGCGCCGGTTCTATCTCTTGTCTGTTGTTCAGTTCCTAATGTTGTGGGCTGTGTGCATAGTACGGGGCATGCTGCGGAACGCAGCTTTCCCATCGCATGTCGTGATTGCTTACGCTAGCATCAGCGCTCAAGTGCCGCTGGTTGCAGCGGGTAGTCCTTGTAGCTTGAGGGTCCCACGGAGAAGGATAGCCTGCTAGGGACCCGCTTCGCAGGAATATCTTTTCCGTTCGATGATTTTTGTGGTCATGTAAATGGTGCTTTTCCCTTGAAAGCGCTTGCAGAGACTTGCGCTGGGGATTTTGCAGTTGGACATGGAGTTGGCTCTATAGGTGCAAGCGCTGAACAGCCCCAGCTTTTCTTGCATCAGCACTCCTGTTCTTTGAGGGGCCGCCGCCCACTCAGGTGGACTCTTTGCATGTCTAATTAAGCAGCGAACTCCTCTGAATGCTCGGAATGGAATGGTATATATATATATATATATATATATATACTTTTTTATTTATTTATTTATTTATATATTTATACATATGTATATATATATATACATTAGATTAGATTAGATTAGATTAGATTAGATTATCAGTATGGTACGCCCTGGCGGCGTGTTTTTTCGTACAAGCATTTTCATTAATTTTTGGATAGTTATTATTAACACACAAATCAAAATACAAGTTTTAAAAGAACAGCTACTAATGTATAATTCCAAATACAAAGTTTAATGCAGGAGATAAGATATGTATTATATACATATATATCCGATCCTAATTACATCACTCGCCCTTGCCTGAAACTCGGCATAGCATCCCCAGCTTAGGCACGGGCGCAGGACAGCTCGATCAGTAGAGCCGGCCTCATCCTTGAAAGCGCTCTCATCGGCCATTAAGGCATAGTGGACGGGACTGCATACAGAAATAACCAGAATAAGACTAACCACCGAGATAGTTCAAGAACAGGAGAGTAATGACGATTGGCAGATTCTGCAGTAGAACTTTCGCGACAGTGTTTGCTCCTATACCGATACCAACCGCATAAGAAATCACCACAAAGTGGTGACAGCGATACTGGCAGTGACGATGATGATGATGATGATGATGATGAAAGCGAACTGATTCTGGTTTCATGATCTCGCTGAGAACGTTTCAGTCCTGTGGCATTGAAAGCTAGGTGTGATGAAGGGATAGCCAATGCAGGTTGCTGGGAGTTTCCGTCGATCGGGCACGGACTGTAGCTGTACTATGCCAGACTCCCTCAAATATTCAGCCCGTGAAAGCTACCAAGAAGAGTTCGACAATTGTGCGGCTCGCAACTGTCAAAGCTGCCGCTACTGCTGTGGTGGATCAGACCATGATGACCAACAGACATGGCTATAAAAATGCATCGCAGATGTTCAGGCTCACGCGGAGGTGAGTCGCATCTCCTGGCCACATTCGCAGATGCTCTTCCGGCCCTACCGGAGACAAGAGCAGCTCCAACTGATACCGTGCTTGGGCTTGGCGCAGTCTGTAGAGATCTGTCAATCGCGAAACTGGCATCTGAAAGTCTACTCAGTCTACTCTTCCTGGGACATGTTCAAGCCTCACTTCTGCACCTGCTGCTCTCCCGAATCGCAGACTCCACGCATTTGTGTATCTTGTTTCGTTTACCCGGATTCTGCCGGGTTCGCGGCATTCGGAATGGCTTGCCTGATGTAGTTGTGTTTCCGGCTTCTACTGTTCCGAACATTCCCACTGCTTCATCTGAAGTAGGATGGTGGGGTGGGCTGGGGTAGGCTGGGGCTGGGCTGGGGTGGGCTGGGCTGTGTTGTGGCGGCGTCGACAAGTGGCCCCCATGGAAGTGAGGCTGGAGCTTATGCACAGCTTAAGCTGGGGCTTAGTTGGAGATGCTAGCAGGTTCTTGTTGCGCAAGTCCTGGGCCACTAACGTGTGTGGGCAGCAGTGGGACAGTGCATGTCCGCGCGAAGTAAGAGGCGCTCGGAGAGCAGGTGTTACTCTTGCTGCTCCCAAGCTCCACCAACAGGTTCCCCACCCGATCACGTCGGTCCTCCGGAATTGAGTGTTTGCCCCAGATCTCCAGGTCGAACACAAAGCGGGCCATGGGAGAGCAGTGCCAGCCTGAGGTGACGCTTCTGAGAATCGAAAAACCACTGAAATCTCCACCGAAAGATGACTCGGAGCCCTCCCTTGAGATCCCGGACCCCGTAGCCAGGCGTCACGGACATCGACCGCTGCGCCTGGGCAAAGTTCAACGCCATCCTCAACTCTCTCCAGGCACACAGCTTCGGAATCTGCTCAGGTGTTGATGCTGGAACACTACTGCCTACAACAACTCTGAGCAGCAGGCTCGTAGATCCGGAGGCCTGAAGGAACGGCCAGGCCATCCAATCGACAGAAAGCACTTTCTGTGAACATGTCTCGGTGGGCGAGGAGGGAGCCTTGGCGAACTCAAGCTCCTTGTACAACGGCCGCCACAGGAACACGGCGTAAGTGTGCTCCACATGCAGCCTTCAGCGAGATGCTCTGGCAGGACATTAGCCCGGGCCGGGGAAAGCTAGTGCGTCTGGCTTACCTGCCAGTAGCGTACTGCCTGCTCGTAATAAACGTGAGACATGCAACATCAGTGCGACCCTGACAGGAGACATATCCGAACTCATACCCTTTGCTGCGACAACCCATGCTGAGTGAACCGTACACTGGAGCTTTCTCAACTGCGGCACAGTCGTCTAAGCGTCGGACAGCTCATAGCCGTAGCCACCTCGAATGTTGTAGATGCGCATAAGGCTCAAAAGGGTTTCCAGAGACTTCACGGTGCTACCATCTACGGAAAGTTCCACATCTTCAGAGTCGGCTTGAGGTTGCGGCTCACCACTTCTATGCCAGCCGAAAGCGAACACTGTGCCAGCCAAATAGATGTCGTCACCTGAACCGACGCTTTGATGCTCGTTGTGATGCTCTTGGGTACGACAAGGATCTGCCTATATGAGTCCATCTACGAGGAATGTCTACCGAGCCCGCAGCCGGTGGCATTCCAGAATCGTCCCCGGTTGCGCTGATTCCCTCCATCACCTGCCTGAGGCTCAGACATCGGACAACCATCACAGAGGCCGGGTGGAGGCTTTGCATGGGGAACGGGGAATCACTGTTGTGTCTCGCTGCAGAGGTTCAGGGAGCCTGGGTTTTCCTGACCATGGTTGCGACAACATTGTAGCGCGAACGCGAAGCTTTCTGCAGTCTCAATTGCCAGTTGATAACCTTGATATCCTCGTACAGGTTCCGTGGAAGCACGAACCTCCAGCGTTTAACCATGCGCGAGTTTAGGAGACCTTGTCCGCTCTGTTGTCTTTGTGAAAAAGACCATGTGGTTGCTTCGAAAGTCAGTGCTGTCCATAGCGGGCTCTACACTGCCTCACAGGAATGCGCTTGTCCTCTTATCTGCACTCTTGTCTGGTCGACGACAAAGCTGGCTGCTGCCACTCTGTCTTCGTTCGTGGCATCTCTTCGACTGTCGACAAGTATGGTCTACTAATTACCATGCGTTTGACTGTTCTGACTCTTTCATGACACCGGGCACAAGCTCCATCTTCGCAAGCTGCACAGTTCCACCGAACAGCTCGTCCGGCTATGTCGGAATTACTGCCAGTTGTGTCCGCTTTTTCGATTTCCCAAGCCGTCATCAACAAGAGTTATGCATAGATGCTGCGCTGCTGCAGTACATCCGAATCTGCCCGTGAGGCGTACTCTCGTTTTTGATGTGCGATTCTCGCTTCGCGATGCAATGTTGAAAGTTGTACGCAGTATGATCCAGATCTACCGAAAATGGGCATGCTGAGAAGCCGCCGCATGATGACGAGGTTGACTTGAATTACGAAACTCGAGCTTGAGGCATACCACCTGTTCCCAAGAAGTAGAGATCGAGAGCGCGGCATCAGACACGTGTGCGTTGAGGTTTGCGGAGCGTTGACGAGGATTGAGTGTGCAGGAAACTGTAGCCCGTCTACCAGCATACCCCAAACAAAATCTAAACAAACCCATGCTGCAGGACCTCATGAACACAAAGCCGTGCTCGTCCCACCACTTGAAGAAATCCGGCCTGGCTTGGGAAAGCAATGGACCGTTCTGCACAGCAGCTCTTAGTTCCCGTCCTCGACCCCCTATGGCCCTACTCTCTGTGTGCCGACTCCGCCCTGAGGTGTGGACTTGACATGATGGCCTGGCGGCACCTCGCAGCTCGCAAAGGACCAGCAGCAGCATAGGCACTACAAGCAGCAGCAGCGGCACCGCAGTGCCAGCCGATGGTAGTCGTTGTCACCCAGGCAGCAGCAGTCGTGGTAGGAGTATAGCAGTATCAGTGGCAGTAGCAGTAGCAGTGGCAGCAAGAGCAGCGGCAGGAGCAGCAGCAGGAGCAGCAGCAGGAGCAGCAGCAGGAGCAGCAGCAGGAGCAGCAGCAGGAGCAGCAGGAGCAGCGGGAGCAGGAGCAGCAGGAGCAGCAGGAGCAGCAGGAGCAGGAGCAGCAGGAGCAGCAGGAGCAAGCAGCAGGAGCAGGAGCAGGAGCAGGAGCAGCAGGAGCAGGAGCAGGAGCAGGAGCAGGAGCAGGAGCAGGAGCAGGAGCAGGAGCAGGAGCAGGAGCAGGAGCAGGAGCAGGAGCAGGAGCAGGAGCACTAGCACTAGCACTAGCACTAGCACTAGCACTAGCACTAGCACTAGCACTAGCACTAGCACTAGCACTAGCACTAGCACTAGCACTAGCACTAGCACTAGCACTAGCACTAGCACTAGCACTAGCACTAGCACTAGCACTAGCACTAGCACTAGCACTAGCACTAGCACTAGCACTAGCACTAGTAGCAGCAGTAGGGCTAGTCGTAGTCGTAGTCGCAGTCGCAGTCGTCGTCGAAGAAGAAGTTGTTGCTGTTGCAGCAGCAGCGGGAGCAGTAGTAGAAAAGTGGAGTAGGAGTGGAAGTAGGTGTAGGAGGAGGAAGAAACGGAAGAGCAGGAGCAGCAGCAGAGCCGCCGTGTCCTCGCAGCAGTAGTTGGAGTTGCCGTACGAGTTCGAGTAAGACTAGAAATCATTGAATACTTGAGTCATGAGCAATCACAGCACATCCAGAGGGCGAGCTTTAGTCATAGCATATTGTCTTGTTCCCGTCGATTCGTGTAGCGATCTGGTCTGTTGTGCAACACTGCGTGTATCATATGCCATACTCTGGCACATCTCGGTGACTCCAACACTACCTACCAGTAGCGTCTCTCTTGCAACATACGGACACAGGGCATGAGACTATCACACAGGGTTCTTGCCGCGACTGGGCTCTTCGCCAGAGGATTGATCGGCAAGTAGAGGATCTGCCGCCAATGCAAAAAAAAGGTGACGAAACAAGGAAAGAAACTTAGGGTTGAGGGGTTTAGGGTTTAGAGACAATATTGCCTGCAGTCAGACGATTCTGCTCAAGAAAACGGGACAGCGAAGATCGAGTTTCGATCCCTCTCGGAGAGGCAATGGCGCCTTGGGCTTGATCGTGCCAGTTCTCATGAGGCGGTCGATGATCTTGCAGCAGCAAGCAAATTCACACACCCATCGTCAAGTCCTGCCGCATGAAAGTGAATACATGGCATGTCAAGTATATGACGAGCCTGGCAGTTGCCCACGAAAGGGCTGAGGAACAATGTGTCCGGGCCTTCGGGGCGTTCTCGAGGCAGTCTTTGGATGCAAGAGTGGGTCTTGGGAGATGGCCGTGGCAACAGTTTCGGGCTCTCTGCACGAAGCATTCCAAGACTTAGGATCCGACTGTGATGGTTCATCGACTTGAAAAGCGACAC